TTTTTTTTAGGTTGACATTCAGCTTTTCTGATTTCATAGAGGTGAGTTAGTAAAGAGCGGGGCCACATTAGAGGAACAACTTGACTATTTCAAATGGTTAATCTATTTTGTTGTAGAGATACGCAGTTTCTATATATGTAAGCAGCATGGCATTCTTATGCTAGGTTTTGAGGGCAACAATAGTCAGAAGTAGAATACTTAAGGAAAGCTCTGCAATGCAAAAATACTAGTAAAAAATAAAAAAGGCAAAACCCATAGCTGTCCAATCGATTCCGAGTCTTAGTGACCCTACAGGAGAGAATAGAACTGCCCCGTAGGGATTCCAAGGAGCTGCTGGTGGATTCGAACTGCCAACTGTTTGATTAGCAGCTGTAGCTCTAAACTACTGCCCCACCAGATCTCCCTAATCAGGAAGGGTCATAAAAATTGTATCGATTCCAAAATAAATTCAGTGCTAAGGTGCCTTCTCAGTGGCTTGAATTACTTCCGCACAGACATGGCCACCACCTATGGCTCTGAATTGGCTTCCTGTTGCACATCAGCCAGACAGCAAGGCTGTGGGCCTCCTTCGTAACCACTTCTGCAGCTTCTTGGGTAGACCCACTTTGGGCCACATATGTCCCATGACTTACTGGGTTCAAAACATGCAGGATTCTATGTTTACTCATGCCTGGGACCCTGACTTTCTCTAATCCTACATGTCAACCGAACACAACATGGAGGGTCCGTATGCTTCAAAAAGTTTCCGCTTGATGGCAGTATTGTGACAGAAATACTGCCGCACTCTTCCTCCAGGATCTTACCCTCCGCCCTTTGCTATCGAAAAAAATGCCAACCACTATCCAGTCTCCCTAAAGCATGGTGCTTACCATCTTGTCCACTTTTGGGGCTCTAGCTCTCAGGTCTTGTGCTAAACTGCAAGCCCTTGTCTCTGAAGAGGGGTATTAGGTTTCCCTCCTTCTTTAGTTGGAGGAATGGCTGTATACCAGACACCCTGTAGGTGGATGATCTTAAAAAAAAAAAAAAAAACAACCCCAGTAGCATCCACTGGATTCTGACTCATAGCTACCCTATAGCCATCAATATCTGCAACCTAAGTGTTCCAGATTAGTCCGGACCTCAAAAACTATAAAGTGTCCTCACCTTAGACTTAAAGACACAAACAAATTAAAACTTAAAGGATAGATAAAAATATATCAAGTAAACAACACTCAAAAAAGAGCAGGAGTGGCAATATTAATATCTGACAAAATAGCTTTTAAAGTAAAATCCACTACAAAGGATAAGGAAGGACACTATATAATGATTAAAGGGTCAATACACCAGGAGGACATAACTATAATAAATATTTACACACCCAACGACAGGGCTCCAAAATACATAAAACAAACTCTAACAGGACCGAAAAGAGAGATAGACAGCTCCACAATAGTAGTAGGAAACTTCAACACACCACTTTTGCTGAAGGACAGAACATCCAGAAAGAAGCTCCACAAAGACACGGAAGAGCTAAATGCTACACTCAACCAACTTGATCTCATAGACATATACAGAACACTTCACTCAACAGCAGCCAAGTATACTTTCTTTTCCAATGCACATGGAACACTCTCTACAATAGACCACATATTAGGCCATAAAGCAAGCCTTAAAAGAATCCAAAGAATCAAATATTACAAAGCATCTTTTCTGACCATAAAGCCATAAAAGTAGAAATCAACAACAGAAAAAGCAAGGAAAAAAAATCAAGCACGTGGAAACTGAACAACACCTTGCTCAAAAACTACTGGATTATAGAAGAAATTAAGGATGGAATAAAGGAATTTATAGAATCAAATGAGAATGAAAACACATCCTACCAGAACCTTTGGGACACAGCAAAAGCAGAGCTCAGAGGTCAGTTTAGAGCAATAAATGCACACATCCAAAGAGAAAAAAGGGCCCTAATCAAAAATTAACCCTACAACTGGAACAAGCAGAAAGAGTGCAGCAACAGAAGCCCTCAGGCACCAGAAGAAAGGAAATAGTAAGAATTAGAGCAGAATTAAATGAAATAGAGAACAGAAAAACAATTGAAAGAGTTAACAAGACCAAAAGCTGGTTCTTTGAAAAGATCAACAAAATTGATAAACCATTACCCAAATTGACAAAAGAAAGACAGGAGAGGAAGCAAATAACCCATATAAGAAATGAGATTGGTGATATCAAAACAGACCCAACTGAAACTAAAAGAACCATAACAGAATACTATGAAAAACTGTACTCTAACAAATTGGAAAACCCAGAGGAAATGGACAAATTTTTAGAAACTCATTACCTACCTAAACTAACACAGAGGTAGAACAACTAAATAAACCTATAACAAAAAAAGAGATTGAAAACATAATTCAAAAACTCCCAACAAAAAAAAGCCCTGACCCTGATTGATGGTTTCACTGGAGAGTTCTACCAAACTTTCAGAGAAGAGTTAACACCACTACTATTAAAGGTATTTCAGAGCATAGAAAAGGATGGAACACTCCCAAACTCATTCAATGAAGCCAGCATAACCCTGATACCAAAACCAGGTAAAGACACCCCCCCAAAAAAGAAAAGTACAGACCAATATCCCTCATGAACATAGATGTGAAAATCCTCAACAAAATTCTAGCCAATAGAATTCAACATGTCAAAAAAATAATTCACCGTATCAGGTGGGATTTATATCACTTATGCAGGGATGGTTCAACATTAGAAAAACAATCAATGTAATCCATCAGGTAAATAAAACAAAAGACAAGAACCACATGATCTTATCAATGCAGAAAAGGCATTTGACAAAGTCAAATACCCATTCATGATAAAAACTCTCCGCAAAATAGGAATAGAAGGGAAATTCCCGAATATAATTAAGGGCATTTATACAAAGCCAACAACCAACATCCCCTCCTAAATGGAGAGAGTCTGAAAGCATTCCTGTTCAGAACAGGAACCAGACAAGGATGCCCTTTATCACGGCTCTTATTCAAAACATTGTGCTGGAGGTCCTAGCCAGAGCAATTAGGCTAGAAAAAAGAAATAAAGGGCATCTAAATTGGTAAGGAAGAAGTAAAAGTATCTCTACTTGCACATATGATCTTATACAAAGAAATAAAACGTGTCCTTCCATGGAGTCCACCCACAGAGCACCCCAAGGACCACTTGGGAACATTCCAACTTGAGCTTTCTTACACCTCACCTAAAAGCCAGTTTGTTAAGAATGTTAATTTTGTTCTTTTGTAAAGAAGACACTTGTAATTGAAGGGTGCTGCCTGAAATCAGATCTTAAAGAACCAGATCCTCTGAGATATAAAGAAATCTTTCTGATAATCTCTTCTCTTTGGGAAGCGCGATCATCAACTTGACGTGTACAGTCCCAGATCTTTTCTGCTCCACTGTGCCTGTGGGACTATGGAGAACATATGGGAATATATTCCCAAGCCTGTTTCCTTCACCACACATGGAATACCAGACCTTCAGGGGATCATCAGCTCCTTAAACTCACTTGCAAATGGGAAAGAGATCTCTCCCTTATGGCCTGACAGGTATCAACCACACTGTGTAACAAGCGTACTCATTCTAGGATGTCCTGTGATAATTTATCCAACTGCTTACCTCTGGGTTGACCTTTACAATACAAAATGTATCTGTACACACACTCACATTTTCATAACTATGAAGTTAAATTCTGCATCAAAGCAAGTTACTAAAGAAACAGAAATACAGGGAGACAAGAAAGTGGATTGGATGCAAACAATGTAAGAATAAAAGAAAAAGAAAAATAAAGGTAGGTAGTAAAGAAAGTAGGAAAGAAGGACATCTAACACCTGTGTCAAAGGAAAAGCCCAGGATAAATAACCTATGCTCCTCCCCACCCCTACACAGGGAACACTAAGCAGTGGTTAGAAAGGAAGTGAATACTACCTGGTAAGGTTTTCTCTGCACAGATGTGCAAAGGCCAGGACATATATTTTGTGAAAGAAGCAAAATGCAGAACAGTATATTGCTTATGATAGGTTCAGTTAAAAGAAGAAATGCAAACATGAATCTGTACTTGCTTTCATGTGCATTAAGCACTGGAAGTGTATACAAGCAATAAATCTGGTTCTTATTAGAAGGAGTATTAAAATGAGAGATGGAGGAGAGAGGAACAGGCTTGGAAATGGGCCTAGAATAGTGATAATGGGTGATTTCTTTCAATGGGAGTAGCATCTATCCACAGAGGATCTAACTTTTTAGCTCTCCATGGCAGTTAAAGACAAAATAACCATGTATGTGATTGTGTATATGCATGTGAGGGTGTGAGTATAATATGCAGCCAAACCTTAAGTAGACCTCTCCAGTAGAGACTGAAAAGTAAATGTCCCTGGCAGTTGTCACCTGTCTGTGTGGCACCACTGGACCCTCCTTCTGAATCATGGACCTCAAACCTGGGGCACCAAATGGGCAGTATCTACCTGGGATTCCTGAAGGTTGAGCCAGGTTACAGACCTGTCTTCTGACCTGCCATGGCCACTGGTAACAAGTCCTGCTGCCGCCACAATGCTGCCACAATGCTGCCACTCTCTCTCTGGGGATGGGCTCCTGAGTTCTTGGCCTGAATGAGTTAGCCCATGAGTCCAGAAAAGCCAGAAGGCAATGATAAGAGATGAAATCAAGGTCCTCATCCATACTCAAGCCAAGAATCAATTTCTTGTGAAAGCTAAAATCCTCACCAAGAAGACCTGTGTATCTAAGTAAATAAATATCTGGCTACCTCTTAGCAGGCAATTCTGACATAGGAGCCTTACAGAAATAGATGTAGCAATAGATATAAACAAACATGCATGTATACATACACTAATATGTATGTGTATGTGTGTATATACATATATATATACACATACACACACACAGATATATATATATATATATATACACCCTGGGTGGCACAAACTGTTTCTGCTCAGCTACTAAGCTTAAGGTTGGCAGTTGGAACCTACCCCGTAGTGGTGCAGAATAAAGGCCTGGTCATCTGGTTCTGTAAAGATGAAAGCCAAGACACACTCTGAAGAGAACATCTGAGGGGTATGTTTGAAATATCTGAAAATTTTTTAGACAAATTAACTTACATCAAACTGCCCAAATGAATTCTGAGTCGTCCCCTCCCCCTCCTCCACCCAGACTATAACCACCACTAATCTTGCCTCTACAGGTCGTATCTTACTTAAGACAGGGTTCAGTTCCGATGGCTCTGGTGTAAATTGGTTCTGATATAGTCAGTTACATCATTTTTGCTTTAATTTTATCATTGCCTTTTATTATCAGTATTTATAATCCCATCTTTATTTGTCTTTGGGGTTTGGAAAATGTTACATGTACATTTTAACACATACATACATAAAAGTTACACAAACCATAAAAATTTAATGATGAAGAAGAGCTGGAAGACATTGGCATTTTGTCATTTGCAGTAACAACTCCACTTGTGGAAGGTTATGGATCATCTGGATTATGTCTGGGAATGAGGATGGCATTTACAGTAGAAAAATTAGTGACAGTTGTCTACATGGTCTTTTTTTTCATGTATTTCGCAGTAACATCTCAGTGTATCCCAAATCTGCATATCAACTTTAGTAAAGAGATCAGCGTTTGTGTCCATGATTTGAAGCAATTGAAGCCCCTGATTTAGTTCAGAAAACTAAATGTATACAATGTGTTTTGAACAGTAAATCAAAAATTGAACATCTTGCAGTGAATACCTGAGAATGATAACATCAGCAAACTACATGCTGCAACACTATACGTAGTACATATTACTAAAGAGAAGATGTACAAAAAAAATAGGATGGTTCATCATAACGTATATACGGTATAAGTCGAGGACTAGCTGTATTTGCTCATTCTGGATGTTAAAAATAAATGGGTGTCTTTTTTCTCTGGCTTCTTAACCCTAGCATGTTTCAGAGGTTTATCCATGTTCTTGCATCCATCAATAACTTCATTCCTTTTACTTACTAATAATCCTGTATTAGAGATATGTCACATTTTGCCATATTTGCTGCTATAAGCATTTGTACAAGTTTTTGTTTTCCATTATATTTCAGTTTTGTCAGTTCTCTTCCTTAAATATAAATTTGAATTCCAATTTTAAATGTCTCAGTGTTGTGTGTAAATTCGTCTGTGTGCACAACAGACCATGCGCTGAAGTCGACTGCAAAAATAGAATTAACTAGCAATTTGCCAACATATCAAACTGGTAAAATCTTTAGGCCTGAACCCTGCTGTCCACTCTCCCTGGATAATTGTGTAAGCCCACAAATTATTATTATTAATAAAATTTAACCAGTTTATGAGTTTTCATGATTCTACCAGGGACAATTTTATTTCTTGCAATATGCTTCTATTTGAAACCAATATTTCCAATAAAAAACTCGTTCCCCTCCCCGCAAAACAAAAAAGATTCCAATTAAGAAAACGCTGTGGGGGCAGTTCTACTCTAAACAGGGTTGCTAAGAGTCATTTTCTCCTCAATGCCAATGTGTTTTTTGTGGAGTATCTAGTGGACAAGATTGGACAGAGGCTCATCATGGGTTCCGCCTCCAGATTCACCAAGGACCCTGTTCTGTAACCTGGTTCTAGGCATGGTCTTTCACTGAGGTTCACAAGAGAGACTCCTGTGGCCCTGAGCCCACAATAGTTGACCCGCCTCCTGCTCCTGGGGCCAAGGGTATGAGGCAAATTGCCCAGAGCCCAGTGCTGAGGTGACTTCCCAGCGGCTTGCACTAGTCCCACCCAGACATGGCAGCTGCCAAGGGCTGAGCCTTGGCTTCCTATGTGTAACGTGCCTGGCACCATGGCTGTCAGCCTTGTTCTGGCCTACCTCTCTGGCTTTTTGGGTAGGGTCTCACCTTGGGCCACACATGCCCCATGACTCAGGGAGCTGTGGACATGCGGAACCCTGACTTTAGTTATGGCTAGCACCCTGACTTCCTCTAATCCCAAGCCTCCCCAGGAAGCAAGAAGGGTGGGTCCATGGTCTTTGAAAACAAATTCCGCTTGATGGCAGTATTGTTCCAGAAATACCAGTAAGCTCTTCCATTAGGACCTCACCCTCCGCCCTTTGCTACTGAAAAAAAAAACAGAGGAAAAAACCAACCAAAGTCCTGCCCTCCAAAATCTTGGTGGCTCCCTATCTTGTTCACTTTTGTGTCTCCATCTTTCATATCTTGTGCTGTCTCCCAAGCCGTTGCCTCTGTAATTGGGTGTAAGTTTTCCTTATTTCCAGACTAGGAGGAATTCCTCCCCACCTAGGCATCCTGTAGGTGGATGACCTAATGCCATCCATATCTGCATCCTTAATACTCCAGTTTAACTGAGACCTCAAGAAATAGACTGCATCCCTTCACAGAGTTCCAGCCACCCAGCACCTGACTGCTCACCAGGGAACATTCCAACTTGAGCTTTCTTAAACCTTTCCGAAATGCCAGTTTTAGAAGAATTTTAACTTTGTTCCTCTTTTGGAAAGTACACACCTGTGTAATTTAGGGGTTCTGCAAAGAATCAGATCTTAAAGAATCAGATGCTCTGAAACATAAAGATAGCTTCCTGATAATCTTTTTCTCTGGGAAGCACAATCGTCAACTTGACATGTATAGTCCCAGATCTTTTCTGCTCCACCGTGCCTGTGAGACTATGGGAGAACATACGGAAACGTATTTCTTAAGTCTGTTTTCTTCATCACAAATGGAATACCAGACCTTCAGGGGATCATCACCTCCTTTGACTCATTTATAAATGGGAAAGAGATCTCTCAGATAGGGACCTAGGTGGGCAGGAAATAAAGAAGGAAGGAAAGACATCCAAAACCTAGTGTCAAAGTAAAAGCCCAGGATAAATAACCTATGTGCCTACCCACTCCCACAGAGAGGAACACTAAGCAGTGGTTAGAAAGGAAGTAAACTACCTAGCAGGAGGTTTGCTCTGTACAGAATGGCAAATGCAAGGGCACATGTTTTGTGAAAGCAGCAAAATGCAGAAGAGAATTGTGATGGTGAAGGTTGTATGTCAACTTGGCTGGGACATGATTCTCAGTGGTTTGCCAGTTATAATGTAGTTTGGCAGTTATGTTATGATGTAATCACCTCCATAATGGGATCTGATGTAATGTAATCACTTCCATGATAAGATCTATTATGAGCAGCCAGTCACCTGAAAGGGTGTTTCCTTGGCCGTGTGGCCTGCATCCAATATAGGTGCTTTCACAATGGCTTGCACTAGTCCCACCCAGACATGGTGGCCACCAAGGGCTGAGCCTTGGCTTCCTGTGCCCAACGTGCCTGGCACCTTGGCTGTCTGCCTTGTCCTAGCCCACTCTCCCAACTTCTTGCATTGACCGCCGCCTCAGGCCACACTTGCCCCATGACTCACGGAACTCTGGATAAACTGGACCCCACTCTAAGGAAGGTTAAGAAGAGGAGTGAAAGGAGAAAGAGGACCAGGACTGGAAGTGGTCCTCATAGAATGGTAATATATATTTTCTTTGAATGGAATGTGTAGGACCCTGACTTCTTCTCATCCCAGGTCTCCCCAGGAAGCAACAATTCTGGGTCTGTCAGCTTCGGAATAAATTTCCGCTTGATGGCAGTATTGCACCAGAAATACTAGCACAATCTTCCCCCAGGACCTCAACCTCCGCCCTTTGCTATTGAAAAAAACACCAACTAGTGTCCAGCTTCCCTAAAGTATGGTTCCTCACCATCTTCTCCACTTTTGGGGCTCCAACTTCCATATCTTGCGCAGACTCTCTCAATCCTTTGCCTTTATAGGGGGGCCTTAGGTTTCCTTTCATCCTGATGAGGAAGAATGACTCCCCACCCAGGCGCCTTGTGAGTGGACAAACTAAAGCCATCCATACCCCCATCCTTAGCACTCCAGCTAAACTGAGATCTCAAGAAACAGACTGCATTCCCGCAAAGAATTCACTCACCCAGCACCCGACTTCCCACCGACTACCCACCGGGGAACATTCCAACTTGAGCTTTCTTACACCTAATTGAAAAGCCAGTTTGATATGAATTTCAACTTTGTTCCTCTTTGGGAAAATACTCACCTACAATTCACAGACGCTGCCAAGAATCAGATCTTAGAGAACCAGGTCCTCTGAAAAATAAAGATATCAAAAACGCATTGTCGTTGAGTTGATTCCGACTCACAGCAGCCATACAGCACAGAATAGAACTACCTCATAGGGTTTTCAAGGCCATAATCTTTATAGAAGATGACTGCCACATCTTTCCCCATGGAGTGGCTTGAACCAAAGACCATTCGGTTAGCAGCTGAGCACTTTAACTACTGCAGCACCAGGGCTCCAAGATCCTTTTCAACCATGTTGGAAAATCGCTTGATCCTACACCAACGTCACCATGGCATACATTATGCTGGGAGTCTCCCCTTGATGAGGTTTTCTCAACTCCCAGAATACACTGCAGTTTTTACAAGATGACAGACAACAGTGTCATGCACAACCTGCTTTTGAAAGGAGAATCAATAGAAAAAAGTGCAGTCACCCAAAACACCACAGCCTAGAGGTGACCAGTGTTTTGTCCTGTCTTTTTTTCTAGTCTGTTTACACTGCACCAAGAGGTCCAATAACATGACTTGACTTATGATCACCACAGTGATGGTAAAATGGTGTCCATGTAAACTCAACCCACCTGACACACATATTATTTGCTACGCTGAAAATATATATAGATATATTTCTCTTTTTTTTCCTTAATGTTACTAGATGAGGAACAGGAAAAACAATAGTTAGTTAATAAATCATAATATGAATTTCAACTGGATTCCTCTTTTGCAAATTACACAAATATAATTCAGGGTGTTGGAAAGAATCGTATCTCCCAGAACGACCTCCTGTGAAATCCGAAGGTACTTGTCCCGGAAATCTCTTTTTTGTCAGAAGCACAATGTTCACTTTGACCTGTATAACTGCAGATCTTTCCTCCTCCACTCTGTGCATTTGTGAATGTGCCAGAACATAGATGAACATATTCACAAGCCAGTTTCTTCCACCACAACTGGAATACCAGACCTCCCACAGATCATCAGGTCCTTTGACTCACTGATGAATGGCAACCAGATTTCTCCCTTATGGCCTCACAGATATCAACCACATTGTCTTTTGAGGAATAAAGTTATTTATTCTAAGATGAGGCCCTATTATACTTCAACCTACTACTTACCTCTCAGTTGACATTGACAATATAACATGTGTTTACATACATACTCACACTATCATGAAGTTATACTTTGCCTCATGGAAGTTATTAAAGGAAGAAAGATACAGAAGGGGAAAGAGAGCAAAAGAGAGAGGGAAAAATAGAAGAAAGGAAGAAATGAAGGAAGGCAGGAAGAAAGGTCATACTAAACCAAGTGTCAAAGGAGAAGCCCTGGATAAATCACCTATGCCTCTACTCACCTTCAAACAGGAAATCTCTATGTAGTTGTTAGAAAGGAAATGAAAACTATCTAGCAGGATGTTTCCTCTGCACAGAGGTGCAAAGGCCAGGCCATATATTCTGTGAAGGCAATGAAGAAGAAGAATATATATTGCTCAAGCTGCCCTCCGAGGTAGGTGAAAAGGTGAAATACAAACATAAATATGTCTTTGCCTTCATGTACGCTAAACATAGAAAGCAAACACGAGGAAAAATTAAATATGCTTCACACTATAAGGAAGTTTGGGACAAGGGATGAAAGGAGAGAGAGGACCAGGACTGGAAGTGGTTCTAATACTCTGGTAATGTATATTTTCTTTGAATGGGCCAAGGCTGTATCCAAAGCGGTACCTATATGGCAGTAAAAGACAAAAGCAAACACACTCACTCACTCACACACTCTGTATGTGTGTGTATATATGCTGTATACACACACACACACACACACACACACACTGTGTATACATACTCCATCCTCGTCATTAAGGTCGACTCTACTTTGTGAAGGCAGCTTTCAGGACCTTCATTTGCTGATGTGGCATGACTTAAAATGTGAAGAAAAAGCTACAAACATCCATTAGTAACTGGAACATGGAATGTACAAAGTATGAATCAAGGAAAATTGGAAATCGCCAAAAATGAAATGGAACACATAAGGATCGATATCCTAGGCATTAGTGAGTGGAAATGGACTGGTATTGACCATTCTGAATCGGACAATCATACTATCTACTATGCTGGGAATAACAAAATGAAGAGGAATGGCATCACATTCATCATCAGAAAGAATATTTCAAGATCTATCTTGAAGTACAATGCTGTCAGAGATAGGATAATAGCCATATGCCTAAAAGGATGACCAGTTAATACAAGTATTATTCAAATTTACACACCAACCATTGATGTCAAAGATGAAGAAACTGAAGATTTTTACCAACTTCTACAGTCTGAAATTGATCAAACACGCAATAAGCTGCATTGATAATTACTGGTGATTGGAATGCGATCGCTGGAAAGAAAGGAGGATCTGTAGTTGGAAAATATCTCCTTGGTAACAGAACTGACACTGGAGATCGCATGATAGAATTTTGCAAAACCGATGACTTACTCACTGCAAATACTTTTTTAAACAACATAAACAGCGAATATACACGTGGACCTCACTCGATGGAATACATAGGAATCAAATCGACTACGTCTGTGGAAATAAACATAGAGACGCTCACTATCATCAGTCAGAACAAGGCCAGGCGCCGACTTCAGAACAGAGCATCAATTGCTCACATGCAAGTTCAACGTGAAACTGAAAAAAATTAGAACAAGTCCAGGAGAGCCAAAGTATGACCCTGGGTATATCTCACCTGAATTTAGAGACCATCTCAAGAATAGATTTGACGCACTGAACACTAATGACCGAAGACCAGACAAGTTGTGGGAGGACATCATACGTGAAGAAAACAAAAGGTCATTAAAAAGACAGAAAAAAAGAAAAGACCTAAATGGATGTCAGAGGAGACTCTGAAACTTGCTCTTGAACGTCGAGTAGCTAAAGCAAAAGGAAGAAATGATGAAGTAAAAGAGCTGAACAGAAGAGTTCAAGGGCAGCTCAAGAAGACAAAGTAAAGTACTATAATGACATGTGAAAATTATAGATTGCTTTGGGCAAATCTGCTGCAAAAGACCTCTTTAAAGTGCTGAAAAGCAAAGATGGTGTTTTCAACCACCTCATATGCATGTGAAAGCTGGACAATGAATAAGGAAGACCAAAGAAGAATTGATGGCTTTAAATTGTGGTGCTGGCGAAGAATATACCGTGGACTGCCAAAAGAATGAACAAACCTGCCTTGGAAGAAGTACAACCAGAATGCTCCTTAGAAGCAAGGATGGCAAGACTACGTCTCACATACTTTGGACATGTTATCAGGAGGGATCAGTCC